AATACGCAGTGCATATTTAAAACAAATAAAAAAGTTTTGGATACCGCACAAATTAAATGTGTTTCTATTAAATTTAAATATACATATAATATATATAATTACTTAAAATAAATTGGAGTTGTAATAACCGAAAAGTCAGTAGCTTTAGACAGATCCAAAAAAACGAAAATTGAATAATCATGTCGTTAAATAAAAGGATTTAGTATTATACTTTGATTAGAAATTAGGTACCGAAAATGACGACATTTTATATTCCTAATATGAGGAGATCAGATAAAGGTAATTACATATAAATTCTCTATTTTCGAACTTATTTTTAAATTTCTTTGAATTCTTAATATTCTATTCTATTCTATTAATTCTTAATATTCTAATATTCTATTTATACTTAAAAGTGCAATATTTTTTACATCGTATATTGTGGCGCTCTAACCAAATCTCCACCCGCACAATAATTCCTATTTACAACTCCAGTGTAAAGTCTGTGCTATTCTATGCCTGTGAGACCTGGAAAAGAACAAGAAAAATACAAGAATACAAACTTTCGTAAACAATTGTTTACGACAAATATTAAAAATAGGGCACTATAGACCCGACGGTCGCAGTGCTACATCCCCTAACAATAATAATATTAAAAATATGGTGGCCCAACCGCATCACAAACTCCAACCTATGGGCCGTTACAAATCAATCATTTGCTACTATGGAGATAAGAAGACGTAAATGGCAATGGAAAGGCCTCAATTTACGCAGACCAAAGAGAAACATTGCACATCAAGCTCTGAGATGCTATCCTAAAGGCAGTCGTCGACCTGGAGCGCCGGCTAAAACTTGGAAAAGAATAATTGATGAAGAACTAAGAGAAGCGAGCTATTCCTGGAGTGACATATGCCGTGAATTAAATAACTGAATACGATATAAAAAGATGGTAGAGGCCCTATGCTCCACTGGGAGGTAAGAATAAGAGAGAGAGAGAGAGATATTGTAACTACATTTGGATTGGATAGGTCAAGAATTAAATATATTTTATTATAAATTAAATAACTGGAAATTCAGAGTTTCGCTACATTTCAGAGATAAATTATTGAAAATGAAGAAAACCTCAAATAACTTAAAGGTCACAGATTTATTAAATTAATCTCAAGTTGCACAAAATGTAAACTACAAGCAAATAAGCATTTGAAAATTTATTGGAAATAAAACAAGTTAAAATGAAATGGGAAAAATACCGAATTCTTGAAAAATAATTTTCTAAAATAAATTGTGAATCACCTTATTTCCATATATCACTTGAATTATTATAAATCATTTGACAGTATGTCCAATAAATAAACAATAGATACCCACAATATCAATCTGAACTCATTAGCAATTTTAATTTAGTAAAACCACAGACAACTTATGCTCAATGCACGATTTAACTGCAGCAGTTGGTTACAGAACTATAACATAGAATAATTTATTAATGTCAATTTTTTTGGCCGAAAGTGACGCGTCTTATGACGAAAAGACTCTATTTAAAAGTTAGAAGGGTTCATATAGAAGTAAAAAGACATAAATTTTAGTTAATTTATTGAAATTTGTCTGACCATACAACCCTGTTTCGAGTAGTCAACATCAATGGTCTTAGAAAATTTTCGAATTTTTTAAATAGTTTATAGCCCATATATAATTTATTTGGACTGCAAGTACCACGCTTAGAACTCGAGAAAGGTCCAAAATTTGTATACATATGATACGAGAATTTAAAGCAACTAGTGTGGAAATAATGGTAATAATTTTTGAAGATCGAGTTGTGAGAACAGTGGATTTAACTATTTCTTTTTACAAATATAACTCTTAATTATAGTCATTTAATTCTTTTTTGTTTAAATAAAATTAAATAATAATTAGTTTGAGAAACCTTGTCATATGAAAAGCAATTACAAAAAAGATCAACATATGACAGTTGTAGTTAGACAGATTATGTGAACTAGTTTGGTGAGCTGTTTTACTATACTTCAGCTAGAAGTGGTGATATTTACTTTATTATGAATCTTAAATTTAATTTTATTTTTCTCTTCTAGAACGTAGAACAAATTTTCAATACTTTCTATTCTCTCACAACCATCGTCATTTTAAAAAGCGATGTCTTCGCTTTCCATTTTTCTGATGTAATCATTATTGACATATACAATACTTGAGTAGCCTGGTTGGTCTGTATTAATGTTGAAGCTAAACAGATCCATAACTAAAAGAGATGAGAGATACGTAACTTGAAGACTAAAGTTCAGGCTTCAGCTAGCTCAGCTTCAGCTACCTCAGTGTAGGTACCTCAGTCTCAGCTAGCTCAGCTTCAGCTACCTCAGCTTAACCTAGCTCAACTTCACCTAGCTCAGCGTCAACTAGCTCAGCTTCAGCTAGCTCAGATTAAGCTAGCTCAGCTTCAGCTAGCTCAGTTTCAACTAGATCAGCTTCAGCTAGCTCAGCGTCAGCCACCATAGTTTCAGCTAGCTCAGCTTTCTATAACTACCTAGTATACATGTCGATATGAAATCATATCAACGATTCATGCAAACACTCATATTTTAAAATTAATGGAAATTACTTTGCCTATTGTATGAATCGCAACCCCTTTAGTTGACAGATAATTTTACTTATAATTAAATTATATACATACCGTTATTATTACTATGTCACTATTACATATATGAGCCAACACCCGCAGTCTCTTATATATACATATATCGATAAATAATAATTGATATATAGTAAATCTTCTAAGATTGTCGTTATTAATACGAACAATTGTCGTTAAAAAAATCGGGAGCTGAAATGCAAGCGATGCATTTCAATCTCTTAATGTTCTTAATGTAGAGATAGAAGTCTACATGGTTCTAAACGACGAGGCACTCCCATTATAATTGTGGGAGAAGGTTTTGGGTAAGAACGGTTTTGAATGTATCATAAAGATTTAGGCAGTAACTCAAAATACTCGCTGAGTATGTTTCTTTCCTTTCTTTCGTCTGCTATACTCTTTAATAATAATCTATTCTATAATATAATGGAAGATTGACCCAAACTTGAAGCAAATTTGAATTTGGAATATTGAATATATTAAAAATGTTAAGATAAAATTAAATAACATCTCTATAACAAAACCTTCAAGATAAATTCATACGGAAAACCTGTAGTTGATATTATTTTAAAACAACCAATTTAACTAATATAATAAACCATATATAATAATAAACGATATATAGTAATAAACGATATATAATAATAAACGATATATAATAATAAACCATATATAATATTAAACCATATATAATAATAAACTATATAAATTATTAAACCATTTATAATAATAAACCATATATAATAATAAACGATATATAATATTAAACCATATATAATAATAAACCATATATAATAACAAACTATATATAATAATAAACCATATATATTAATAAACTATATATAATAATAAACCATATATATTAATAAACCATATATAATAATAAACCATTTATAATAATAAACCATATATAATAATAAACCACATATAATAATAAACCATATATAATAATAAACCATTATAATATAATGAGTTATTTATTGAAATTATAACAATAATCTAATAAACTATATAGATTTAATCAATTATGTATTGTTGTGATCTTGAAATGGTTATAGGATATAGAAAGTAAGTATTTTAACGATAATTTATATTAAATGTATCTCTAAATTATCGTTAGGAATTCCTATCAGCACAAGAATAAATGTATAAAACATATAATTTATATTAAATCACTCCTTATATGAGAGTTCAAATAAAAGATGACCTATTAATTATTAATATATATTTTAATTATAAATAAATATTAATTTCATTATGTCTTCGGTTTGAGATTGTTTCAAATCTCTATTGAAGTAAAAAAAGAAATTAATTTAAAAATGTTAAGAAAACCCAAACTAAGTTGAAAAAAACCAAAAGATTAATATTTAGATAATCAGCCAATAAATAAAATATTTTGTTTAATTTCATCAACCTTCAAACTAAATAATGCAAAGAAATAATCTTATGCTTATCCGTGCTTGCAGCTGCTTGTCGTGCTCTCGTTAAAAGACCAACGCCGAAGCCTACAAAGTATTTTCGAAAATACCGATTAAATACAAATAAATTTATACCATTAATGAATTCTAAAAAACAAATTTACATTTTATTTTAAAATGTAATAAAATACTCTGCTCGTATGCAATACCAATCAATTTAAATAACACTGAATCATGTTAACTAAACTCTCTTGCGAACGTCACTTTCAACATTTTTCAGAAAAACTTATCGTGACATCAATTGTGGGTCTGTGGATCTTTGTGGTTGAAATAATACTTATAAATAATGCTAATTGATAAATAACAACAATAAACATTTAAAATTAAAATAATTATTATTATAATAAATGTAACTATCCACAGAAAATGTTTACACTTTAGAATATTTAATTATTTAAGCTCATTGGGAATTCCCGGAAATTTCCTTTTCAATGAAATTTACCTTCAATGTATTGTAAATCTATTTATTTTTTAAATAATTGTTTTAGTATTAGAAAACTATTGGAAAAAGGTGCAATGAGTGTTAATAAGTTTAACGTACTATTTTCCCACTAAACTAATATTTTCAATCTAACATATAGACAGACGTTGGCATTGCACGATCAAGTTATGAGATATTCATTGGGTAAATCTTGTGCTCATTGAAAATCCACAAAATCACAATCTACTTTATCTCATTGCGAATGTTCTCCACACACACTTGCTAAAATCTTCACTACGAATTGCTCTCACCGTTTACAGGTTCTATGCTTCTAATCATCACCTCTGACATTACAAACTAATTATTACTGATTATTTCGTCTTACACTCGTATTAGCTCCGAAACTAGAGATAATCTGTATGTGTAAGGTAGCAGCAAAACAAACTGGAACTGTTTAGAGTTTAAGACTGACAGCTTCGCTATAAGATCAGTTCATTGTAGGCTTAGAGCTTACCGAGTAAACAACGCTAGAACTGGGAACGCTAATTAATTAAAAATTATCTTGTATCGCAGTGCACTTAAAGTAATTATGAAAATGATTAATTGGAAACGATTAAATATTAACATAATATTTTTAATTGGAATAATTCTAACCATATGCAGTGGAATAAATGGTAAGTTAGTTAAGTGAAGAAGTCACATGAAAGTCTAAATATTTACATAAAATTCTGCGCTCACATCGGTGCCGATAAAACTAGTATATGCCAATAATTAATTATTATAATTATAATCAGTATTTCAAATTGAATAAGTACGGATAAAATACATCTATTGTTTAAAGTGTCGGAAAAAATACTTCTATCGATCGTACTTAATTGGGATGCGCAAAACACGTCTATATATGTGAATTACACTATACTACATAGTATAGAATTGTAATAACAAGTTAAACACTAATTTATACTGCAAAACCACAATGTTGTTATATGGCATATTATCAGTTATAAAAAATTTGTACACACACACAAAAAATTTAGTTTATATGTGTAGTTTATACTGTATATATCACTTATATATAGGTATATTACGTGAAACTGTGATTGATAGTTGAAGGATATGTGATTAATGTATTAATGTCATTGATAACTGATAACTGATAACTGATAAGAATGACGTGTAGTGCTGAAAATAATTATTAGGCAAAAACATATAATGATGTTATTTATCACTAACTGTAGATTATAAAGAACAAAGAGTTACATAAAGAGTAGTCTAATCAATATCTGTAGAACAAAATTTTTTGAAATACCATTATACTGAACAACGTATGTGATTGATGTGATGATCTCAGATGGTTTTAAGAACTATTTTCTTTCCTGCATTTTATAAAATAATAACTACAGAATGTGCGTTTTCGAGTCGAAGTATTGTAGAAAATTTTTAATATGATCTATTCAACTCCTAAAACAATGGGCTATTTGGAATACAAAGAGTTGTCTAATTACTATCTTTGGAACAAGAACTTTTGAAAAACAATTAAACTGAACTAAAAGCCTATTATTTTGTGCATTATATAAAAAATGAAAACATAATGTAGGTAATCGAGTGGAAGTGTGGTACAAAATGTCTAATATGATCCATATACAGCTGCTTCATACAAAAAACAATAGGCTATTTGATAAACAAAGAGTTGTCTAAATACTATCTCTGGCACAAAAATTTTTAAAAACAATCTAAATGAACTTAAAGACTATATTATTTTGTGCATGATACAAGTCTGTGCCTTATTAAGACAAGAATGAAAACAAAATGTAGGATTTCGATGGTGTAGGAGATTTCTGACGTGACCCATACAGCTGTTTCATGAAGAAAACAACTTTAAAATATTAGTAAAAAATTTTTTAAATAGCAGTAAAGTATTAGTTTTATTCATGACTAGAACGCATTTTTAACGCGTCGAGAGCGAATTCCTGCATCACTAAGCAAGCCCTAAAGTGGAACCCGCAAGGCAGTTGCCGGCCTGGCGCTCCCTCATGAGCATGGGTAAGGATAATTGATGCCGAACTAACATTAGCGCGCTACTCATGGAACAACATCTGCACGGCAGCTCCAAATAGAATACGGTTCAGAGGAATTGTTGAGGCCCTATGCTTTACTGGGAGTTAACGAAACAAAGAAGAAGTTTTATTCATAATATTATTTACATACTTATTATTATACTTAAACCCCCTCGGAGATCACTACCTTGTCGTGGTGAGGGAACTAAGTAAGTTTAAGGACTCTTCGAGGTGTACTGTTCAGGGCCACCAATACCGGAAAGATAATAATAAATCGCTATTATTAATTTATTAGTAATTATAACCATTATTAGTATATAGCATATATTCCTTGCTTTATACGATAGGCCTTCATAACTTAAGAGTTGTTTTTATATGTTTATTATGATATATTAAATATATATAAGTAGAATGACATTTCAAAAACTATCAAAGATGATCTGGTGTACCAGTGTACGAAGATCGTCAATTCGATTTGCGAACAATTTTATATGATCAAAAATCGTTACTTAGATTCTTTTCAAATAGATAGATGAACTAACATGTTAATTAATTTTAAATATAAATAAAAACTTGTGTATTAGGTTGGTGAGTAATATAGAAGAACTCTTATAAACTCTCATAATTTGTTGCTATTTTGGTCTTAAACCACTTATAATTATTTTTACTTAAATTATAGCTGATTACGATTATGGCGCCTGTACAACGCCTAATAATGAATCTGGTCTCTGCATACACATTGACGATTGTGAATATTTATGGAATATGCTTTTAAATCCAGTAAATCGACAAGAATCGTTTTTGGCCAAAAGTCAATGTGGCTATGACAATACAGCTACTACACCCGCACATAGAATTTTGGTGAGAAAATAATTTTTATAAGAACTATGAAAAAAATATGATTAAACGTTGTACAATATAATTTTAGGTCTGTTGCGCGGATAAATATTGCAATAAGCCAAAACCAGAGGCAAATAATGTACCAAAACCAGGAAATGTACTACCAGAAGCTGGTAAATGTGGCATATCGTTAGAAAATCGTATTTTGGGTGGTCAGAATACATCACTCTTTGAATTTCCATGGATGGCACTTATTCAGTACAAGAAACGTAAGCTATTTTTTATACGATCATAATATATTTTTTATTAATTTTCATATATTTATAGCTAACAATGTGTACGAATTCCATTGCGGTGGTAGTCTTATAAATTCACGTTACGTACTAACGGCTGCGCATTGTGTGAGAAACGAAAAAACTCCGGGTACTTGGGAAGTTAACAAAGTACGATTGGGTGAATGGAATACAACATCAGATCCTGATTGTGTAGTAGATATAAATGGACATAAGGAGTGTGCATTGCCACATGTTGACGTAGAAGTTGAGGAGACTATAGTGCATGAGAATTATATGTGGTCATCACGTGATCAATATAATGACATTGCATTAATACGTTTAAAGGAACCTGTTCAATATACTGGTTTTGTAGAACCAATTTGTTTACCTATTTCTTCAGAATTGCGTTCTAGTAGTTTCAAAGATCAGCTATTAGATGTAGCTGGCTGGGGTGTAACTGAGAAACCTGTTGCCAGTGATGTTAAGCTCAAAATAAACGTCACCACTTGGCAGATACCAACGTGTCAGGAAAAATATAAAACATTCCAAATTACACTAGACGAAAATAAACAATTATGCGCTGGTGGTAGACAAGGAATTGACACTTGTAACGGTGACAGTGGCGGTCCTTTAACAATCCGCACAAGAGCTGGTAATAAGGATGTATATTTTGCAGCCGGTATTGTTTCATATGGACCTAAACCCTGTGGTATTAAAAACTGGCCTGGCATGTATACACGTGTTGGAGCATATGTTGATTGGATCATTAGTAACTTGAAACCATAATCATATATATGTATATACATAATAAAGTAATGTATATATATATATATTCATATATATGAATGTGATTTATAACGATTTTATGCCAAACTGAGAATATAATTTTGATTATAAAATTATAAATATTTTTATAAATAATCCTTTGCAATATAATTATTTATTTCTTACTCAAACTGTAATTTATATATCTATATTTTTTTATTTTAAATTTAAATAAATCAAATTATTTAATAAATTAAAAATGTTTTTTATAAAAACAAAAAAAATTCTAGACTGAATTTTGCGGAAATTTAATTAACACAAATTCATTATCATAGCCAAGGAACAATAAATAAATACAAGTATAATTTTTTATCAAGGATTTTATTAATAAAATAATTGTATTCTATTTGCTATTTGGATAATGTTAAAATTTCTACTTATCACGGAATTAGCATCTTACATTTTTTATATATAAGTATAATGATATATGCTATCAATTTATTTGCATATAAATATAGATTTTTTGCTTTACAAATATTATTAAAAAATTACTTTAGCGCACAAAGTAAATATTTATTTTGATTTTAAAAATTTGCAAATTAAAATTTTTTAATAAAGCTTAAGTTAAATTTAGATTTTTATATATTATATAATGTATTAATTCAAAACAATATTAAAAACATTTTTAAACGTAATTTCATTTTTCTAAATTGTTTATAATTGTTATGTTATAATTGCTATGTTATGCAATATAATTAACAATTTTAATTAATATTAATAATTTTTTAGTAAGTTTATATTGTTAGCAATTAATACTTTTTTAATTAAAGAAATTATTTTTATTTACTACTTACTTAAATAACAATAATATAATTTATTTTGGTGTTAAACATACGATCTAATAAACATATTAGATCGTACAGCTCAATAATTTTTTTTAGAAATTCGTTATATTAAATAATAAATAATATTTGAATAGTTATTAGTTAGGTTAGCATATAATAATTAATTTACTAGAAAAACAATAATCATAATATATATGACAATGTCAGAGGTTATGTTATTAATACGGATAGTGCTTCCAAAGTTTAAATTCAAAGAGGTTCAAAGAATAGCATATGATGTTCGAACATTTTTCAGCAAAGCCATGTTCGACAAAATAATGGTCTAAGCTTATTCGAAGCTAAAATAAAACGTATAATTTTAATATTAAAGTTATAATTACTATATTTAAACTGATTTACTAGAGAACTTATAATTTTTATAATAAGTTCAAATAATAATAATACATATAGTTAAAATCTTTCATATCTACTATTTTAACAAGTTATATTTTATTTAAATTTATTTATATATAAGTATTAGTAAAAAGTTGAAGTAAATGTTACTACATTTATAAATTTAGATATTTGAAAAATTATGATTGTATCGCAATTTGATTTTAATTAGTTGATTAAAAGCTTAATAATTGTAAGCTTAAAGACAAACGAAATATTGAAAGCTGAAACTGTGTGCTGCAATTTAAAATTAAATAAAACAAGTTGTTTAATATAAGCATAACATATTCATAAATAGATAATAAATAAATAAAAAATTTATAATAAAGAGATAAATACTTCAGTATAATTTTTTCAAAACGAGATTTTTCGAAAAGTAGTGAACTACAACAACAAAAATTCTTTTTATATTATTTTAATTAATTGAATTTTTGGCTGACCATACGCAGCTGTTTCAAGTATTGCCAAATACCCATGATCAGTGGGCTTGGAAATAATTCTTGTATTTAATTATTCGTAAATAATTTTTTGTGAGCGCAAGTATCAGGAATTGAACTCGTGCCCTGTCAAATTTTAAGCTCAGAGTCAGCGTTCATTAATCAACTAACCCAAAGCCGTACTTCACTTTTATGTTCGCATATTTTTCTGAAGTTTTGTTAATTTTGTTTGAAATATTTATTAATAAATCTAATTGCTGTGTTATATTAGAACGATATTACAAGCCAGCTATAGAATAATTAAATTAATTATATTTTATTTTCAATTGTTAAATTTCAATACTATTTTGTTTGCAGAGGCATTATTTGTTGCATGCTTTTATATTATTCTTTCTTGTATATAGAACCTAATCTAAGAACATAATACCGAGAAAGTCATGCTAATATTACTCCACGATTCGCATGTGTGAAGTTTTTTTCAAAACTTAATATTTTCGTTTTATATTAGATTTAAAATTTACTTTAATATTTAATGATTAAAAATATTGTTAATAACAATTAAATAAATATTTAAATATAATTTAACAAAATAAATATACAATTTAAACTTTTTAAATTTATTCTAGCTATAGTTTTTAATAACACGAATTTTAAATTTGTTATTATTTATCAATTCTGAAATATAGAGGCAAACAAAAAAATACTGTTATAACCAATATAAAAAATTCGTATAAGGAATTAATTCGATTTCGTTTAGAAGAAATTTAATTATAGAGCTAAATTTGAATTTAGCAGAATAGATTAAATTTTGAGTTTCATAATATGTTTTAGCGTAATATATATATAATTTAAAACAATTTTCTTTTAAATTTTAAATAGTTGATATCACTTTTCATAAATATTGGAATGAAAGTACGAAAAAACAAATACTGCAAAATTGGTTCAAAGAAATTGAATTTAATATTAACATAATGCTAAATAAAATTTGTTGTATTATTTTGAATTTGTTTCTGAATATAACAAAGTGCTATGTAAAATTTTGGCAATGCATAATTTAGGTGTTATTTTTTTATATAATATTGGGAACGTTTAAAAATTAAACGTTAATTAAACTGCAGCATAGATTAAAGGACTTGTGGTAATTGAAAAATAATTAATCTAACGGTATTTGTTCCTCTGTGTTGATGAATCCAAAACTTAATTCGGGTTTGTTGATGGTGTTGTCATCGTACAAGAAACGTAATTGAGTATCCAGATGATCCAACAGACCTTTGACGGCTAGACAAAATCCACGACTGGCAGGTACAAGTGGAAAATCTGGTAAAATGCTAACTGTATCGCCTAGAGAAAAAATTTATTAACATAAATACATAATATGATTTTATATTTTATATTATTATATTATAATATAATATAATTTTTCTTTTTCTTAATAAAAAAATTCATTAACATAAAAAAGGAAAAAATAAATAAATATATAAATAACATTTGTTATATATATATTAAAAACTTGTACAAATACTATAAAAACTATATTACTATATATTACTATTTAATAACTAAATAACATACTATTAGCCTGTCATGAATATATATTTAAAACACAATATCAAATTAAATACTCTTATGGTATTTCATGATACAGAAATTATAATACAGATTAACTAAATGCTGTTCTTGCCTAGAGCTAATTTTGTATATATTCTATTTTGTAATAATTTAATTGCTTACCTAAAGATCTAAAGCCGGTTGGTGTTTTTGCAGTCATATCATTGCTTAATTGAATGTAACCTTTAATTCGGTTATAAAATCGTCGACCATTAACACTATAATAATCACAAACTTCTTGGCGAAATAGTTCGCTAGGTTGTGCCAACAATTTGCTAGTCGCTTGGACCAACTTAATAGTGGCCATTTCGTTGTACATACGGGAATTTTCATGTCCCTGTTGAGTTTCTAATCATTTGTAACAAATACAAAAAAAAAAAACATAGTAATGCAATGTTTATAATAGAAAGAACTTGGTTTTATAATACCTTTATGCTTTTCATAACCGGCTTCGTTATAATAAGGTTCGTTTACGAGTATTAAGCCTTGTATTGAAACAAGCACTTGCAGTAGTGTACTGTTTACGCCCCAAATCTCCGTATTACGTCCGGACCATGTACCCAATAATGAAACACAAACTTTTCCACCTTCATATAAATTAGGATTTAAGCGATCCGTACAGTAACTAATGTAGTGGCAAGTCGGGGGGTTACGGGGATAATCACGTCCGAGTTGAAAATCAAAAAAGAAAAGTCCGTTCTCATATGGAGTATTTTTGGGACCTTCAATCATGGCACTTAATAAATCCAAACGGTCTTCAAATACCCTACATATATTAATTTAGTTAGTAATGATAATTGCATAATTATATTTTTAACTTATTGCCTTATATAAACTCCTGGCGGCAACGAACTTCGCAACATCCGATGCTCACGCTGAACCGCTTTAAAATAAGACTGGGCATTGATGGGACTAAAAACGGTCAAATAAAATTTGTGTGACTTTGGTGCATGAGCATATAACTTAAAGCTTTGTAGAACACCAGAAGGTTTCAATCTTGTAATGACTTCTTTTTCATCATCGGATTTTGAGCTATCCATCTCTTCTTTACTGTCAAATTCCTTTAATGCAGATAAATTATCTTCAGGAATATTAGGAGTATTGAAAAACTTCTCTTGTATTTGTTCTACAAATTTATGCAATTGCTCTTTGAGTAAAGTACACAAACGTGCGCATTCAGAAGCTGCGTCGTCAGTTATGTCAATGCTATAGTTGGAAATGGAAATTGGATCATCAGTAGTTTTATAAAAGGAGTTGATTCCATCGGGATTGACTGTATCAGTTAAGCTAGCAGCACTACCTTCATTCCGAGAATAATTACCAGAATCATCCTGATTTTAAAATGTTAATAAAATTAATAAAAATAACAAACTTGTATTAAATAGCAAATCAGCAGACAAAATTTATTACTAACGTCCATTATTCACTTACCTGAGATGCAACTGAAGTGTTACTAAATTTTAGTTTACATGTCTCTTCGTAAGCTCTTTCAATGTTATATATAGCACATGACAACAAATTATTTTTTTCGTTATTTTGCGCGTTTGTGCTGTAGTTGTCTGTTTTTGGCACAGTTACACTTGGATCATTGGTATCTGACCCAGCAGATTCTTTAGTGGCAGTTTGCAGACACATTTCATTTGTATTACTTTTTGTTTTACATTTTAAAGGTGTTGACGATAAATTAAACATCATTTTAGTTTTATTCTCAATTGTGTTATCAGATGTTGACGGAGTTCTATCTCCGAAAAGACGAATTTTACGTTCTAATGCGCGCTCTGATTCAGTTTGACTTCCACTTTTACGTACCCGTTCAATGAGCCCCTTAATAATTGTTAAGCTATTTGTTATTATTATGTTTATTTAACAAAATAAAATATACTTTACCATAAAGTTTTCTTCGTGGAAAAATCTGGTATCCATTACACGATCTAAGGAACGACAGGTTTTGTAGGCATGAATAAGTTTCTTCATAACCTAATTGAATAATTTCATTAATTTTTATATATAATTATAAAGGGACAAAATCATACACTTACTTCAGTACTTTGCAGATTAGGACTTAAATGGAAAATTTCTTCTAATCGCGCTAAAGAAACTCGTGCCGTTTCTAAGCTTGTAAGTGTATGCGATGGACACATTTTAATAGTGAGATCATCACCGTATTCACTGTTTTCCGATTGAGTTTCCCAAGAATCATCAGAAGCTTCACTGTACTCATCATGCTCATGGTCTACAACTTCAAACAGATCTTGTGGCCAGCAGGAGGTGATACTGCCGTCTACCCATCTAACCTTTACAGTGCCCTCTTGACAAGTATTTATGATCTGACCTGCAGCATTTGTATTATTCGCAACATCGAAATTGTCTACACGTGTGACAATTGTACCAGGGCGATATTGGAAATCTGGATGATCTTTCAGGTCATAAACACTTTCCTCTGTTATACCGTTATAGGTAGGCCTATAAATAGAACGAATAATATTAAAATCTTCGACAATAAAATATGTGTATACAATTACTTGGGCTCTTCACTGTAGGTGTATGTTGTAAACCATTTCACACGAGCCGTTCTTCCATAATGATCAACTGACTGAATTACACCATAATCACGATAAGTCATATCGTTACTATCCTTTTCATACATCACATAGTCGCCAGGGAAAAATTCCTACGCCATTTTTTGGGGTTACCAAAATATTTCCAAATAACAAACAATATATTATACTTACATGAGTGTCCAATTGATTAATATGATATAATTCAGTCGAAGGAATATCGGTTTCTCTCGTGCCATCTTGCCACATTATGGTTATTTTACTATGCATAACTAGTGCTTCGACGGCTACTTTTTCTCCATATTTAAACGTTTTCTGTAACTTATCTGTTGATGCATATGAACTACTTCTTTTAGACTTTCGTAACATTTTCACTTTACGCGTACGTTTACGATCTCTTGGCTCGTCAAAAGACGAATTGGATACAGTAGCTGAAGTAGTAGCACTTGAACTTTCATCAATCCAGCTTGAGTCATCCTCTTTATCGCTTTCTGCTTCTTCATCCTCATCTGAATCATTACTCGATATTTTTTGATGCGAAGGCATTTGGAACTTAGTTTTGAATGCAGACTTAATTCTATTTGTAGATTCAGCTTGTGGTAGCTTCTTTAATTTCTTTAAAGCATTACCTTTATGTTGATACAAACATTTATCATTTCGTTTTTGCTGTTCCTTGAATATTTTTTTAAATTTTTGTGCTAAATGTGAAAACGAAATTAAATTAACTAAAATGTTTCATAAATTCATTTTTTATTATTTACCCTGTTCTCGATCCCAGTCAGATTTTTTTACAATTTTATCCGTAGACAACAATTCAAAAAAGAATAGATCATTCATACGCAATAAATCAGGTAATTTTAAAGGCTTTATTTGCTTTAAGTCTTCACCATCGAAAAAATTTTTTGGTTCTTCGATTTTTGTGGTTTCAGCAGTCGAATCTTCAGACAATGCTCTACACTGCCAATGCACCCATGCACTCTGTACATAAAGTGACTCAACTGTATATTGTGCTTTAATAGCTTTGCCTCTAATATCGAAAGGTAATGGTTTAAATGGTGGCAATAATTTAACACTTGACATTTGATGTGGGCGACCAATAACTGTATTACCAGGATAGAAAAAATGAGTATTAAACACTGTACCATTTGCAGAACGGTTATCGTTAAAGTTATCAAATTCAGTTGAATCCAAATCAAAACGCACACCGCTAGTGGATCTAGGATATATACGAATCAATGTATTAGCAATTTTTCTTAAAAATACATTAATAGGTGTTTTACCTTAATACTGCTCTTTCCTCAACTTCTTTAACGGTACCGACCCATGGACCCATCACCACTACACATTCATTATATAAGTCTGTTAAGTCTGACAATCTCTCAGATGATATATTTGTCACCACATATTTACTACCGCATACTTTCACATCGGCATTTATTTTAACTTCTTGCACATAACCACGTTGTGTGTCCATACCTTTAACCAATCTACGAACTATGTCACCAAGCATAAACGAGCGATCGACTAGTCCAATCTGTGGATTGAATAAAGTATACTTGTTTAATTATAATAATAATAAAAATCAAAATGTAATATAAATTGATATTGTTTTATTGAAATTATTGAATTAGAATTTATAAAAATAAATTATAGTACATATCTTTATGTGGTGATATAACTTTTTTAAGAGTTTCTTAGAGAAAAATTACACAATTATATAGAAACTATTTTATAAACTATACTGATTAATTTAGTACTTTGCTATATTACTTTTAAAAGTAATATGCCAGTTGAATATAGTTCAATAATGTTGGATATTCTGATATAAGAAATGTGTTTGTGTGAACACCATTTATTATATAATGATTATAACATTGAATATAGTTCAATAATGTTGGATATTCTGATATAAGAAATGTGTTTGTATGAACACCATTTATTATGTAATGATTATAACAACAACACAAACACCTGGAGTAAAAAACTAAGGAACGATTGGTGTGAGGTGAGTTAGTATAAAGTATGGTAATATTTAGATTCTAGAAAAATTGGGTGTACCCTTGAAACCATTTATCAATATCAGGGACTAGTAAAAAAATGGATTACTATTTTGTAGGTTGTTAATGGTAAAGAATGAATGATGCATAAATGATGTGATATTGACCTTTCTTAATAGGTTCTTAATTAAAGTATGTTATGTAGAATGGAAGTATGTGTTTGATACAAAAATTTTTCTAAAAAGTTTAAGATTAAGGGATGATATGTAAAATGAAATAGTGTATGTGTTTTCGTGACATTTAATAATAAAAAATTTTTTAATATTTTTGGTTTGTATGATGAAAATGAATGTTAGAAAATAATTCTAATATATATATTATGATAATGAAAATCTTAAGAAATATATAATACAAATATTACTTCAAGCACTGAATAAATTAAAAAGATTCTGTAAAAAAGAAACTGTTTCTAAGCTATTTTTGTAGTGTCGGGAACAACCAGGTGTAAATTTCGCTACAAAATCATTGTCTGTACGGAGGACTAGGAGTCAACTATCTTATTATTGACCCAAAATATAAAATAAATTATTTCTATATGCTCAACTAAAGTTTTAGAATATTGGAACTGTAAGATTTAATTATAAATTTTTTGTTTACTTTTTAGAATAGAAAATAATATCAATTATAAGTGCAAATGCGATACAGTGGAAGCTATTAAAACAGTTGTATATTAAAAAAAACAGCTTTATACATAAGGTTTAAAGCTGTTGGATAAATCTTTACTAGTTTAGATACATAGTTCGTATATTCTTTACATTGATTAAGTGAATCATTAACATTTTATATATGTATTACACAAATACAAATGTATAAATAAAACATTTGTTAATAATTTATTGCTATTTTAGTGTAGAGAAATATTTCACTATTTTGTTATTTTAATTAAGCAGCGAGCAGAGTTTAAATATTATGCCAAATATATTATAAAATTTGACACGTAATCTGTTGAAATGATTGGCATACATATATAGGCAGGATATTATATTAATTAATATAAATAAAAATTTAAAATAATTAGGTTTATTCACAAATACGAACATCTTAATTTGCATGTGACAGTTATCCTTGAAAAAATTACATAATCCTTTATAATATGGTGACAACATTGCTTTCAAGTTCAATAACTTTTTAGGTAGATATATATATATAATATACATAGATTTTAAAACTATATATTATAAATTAATATTAATTAAAATTAAACTAACTAACCGCATTTTCTCTGTAGATAACACGTTTGCCTTCTGGATAGAAACTAACACGAACTTCCCCTTTATTAAGATTTCGTTCATAATCTTCTTCCTCTTCTTCACCACCAGAATTAGTATCAACTGTTTCAAGGACAATGCCAAATTTTACTTTGCCATTTCGATCTATGCGGAAAACTTCATCCTCACTAAACATTTGTGCGTCGCATAGCTCACTAGGTGACTGGGATCTCAAATATTTCTGTAAAAATCCTGGTCCATCAACGTCCATTGGTGGTATGAATTCCACATCGTTGTTTATTTTTTTTTCTGCACCATAATCTGTATTTACAGCTGGTGTTTCTTGTAGTACTTCCGTTACACTTGCCGGTGAAGACTTTTCCATCTTCTCGTTCCTAATTATAAAAAATTATGTGTCTTTTATTTAAAATTTACCCTTTTTAATGTAAATATTACTTAATTAAGAAACAATATTAATTATAAAAAAATAACACGTCCCGTTAGCTGTTTTAATTTTTATACAATTGAACATCTAAAATCCCACTTTTGCGCAACTAACGGAACAATCAGCCAAACTGTTAAAACAAAAAACAAAATTGCACTAGCTACATCGCACATATACGGAATAATGCCAAACTAATATTTATAACAAAATGGGAACGTCGGTATTTGACAATTGAAAACATCTGTGCTAACAAAACAGTGTGTATAAATTGACGCCAGATGTCGCCATAGCTATAATTTGATTTTAAAATATTTTTAAAATATTCATACTATATTAACATACATACACATAAATACACACAGATATACTCGTATGACGTGAAATATTGTGTATTTAATATATATTTACTTATATTTTTTTATTTTTAGGCAAGGTATTTTGATTTTAATAATTTTTTACATATGTATGTGTTAAGCTAAACACTTGAAGTAATCAACGTCATAGCACACTACAGTCAGTCGTTTTGGGTTACATATTAGAGGATTTATTATCTTAACCCAAATATATATATATATGATTGAATGTAAATATAAATAAAAGTCCTTCTATTACGGGTTTATTACGGGTCGAATCTCAAAGCTCGACTTATCATAAACACAGGAATGTGCGTAAATTTTGCACTTAACATATACCAAGATAATTAAAATGTCTAAAAATCTGGCACACCTTAATTTAACAACACGATATCTATATATTAAAATATTCTGGAGTAATCTTTAGTCTATTCTATTTTTCAAATATTTCAAATAAAAATTTTTTAAATTTTTTTTTGCTTTGACGGCCAAAAAACTAGATACTTTATCTTTGCATCTATTTGATGTCATCTATATATACAGGAAGTGTGACGCAATTCATATTAACCGTTACTAGTTGATACATTGTGTTAAACTTACTTTTTTAAATTGAAATTAAAATTCATTATAAATAAAGTTTTGCAAGAATTCAATCCAATTACAACCAATCAATCAATCAGTCCTCCTTAAAGTAATCCAGTTAAACAATTAATACTGATTAAAATAGTAATTTCGTCTTTGTTATTCTCTATCTAAAATATGTTAAATTTGAAAATAAATTTTTTATTTTTGCAACTATTTGGCCTTTATTTGTACTTACAATTTCAATGACAAAATAAACAACAAATAACTATTATTACTTTTATAGTAATTTCTTGAAGCCGTGAATAAGATTTGAAATATTTTTGTTTAAATTTTGATACCTTTGTTAAATGTTAACAATATATATTTTATATTATAAGTAAAAGTAAAATTTAAAAAAAATTTTTTTTTTACCAGCCAACTATAATCAAAAATTGTTTAGAAAAACTAAATGTGTAGTTTAAATACATTTTTCCATTATGCTATATGATATATAAAAATTTCAGATCTATGATATCAGATTCTCTCAGTTTAGTAAAGTTCACGAAAAAGTATTCTAGCTGTTTTGGGCATCTACATAACGCGTTTTAAAATTTTATACTTCTTTCTCTTTCTCTTGCCAGAGATCACAAAGATCGTTGCTTAGCATTATCATTTTAATCATGTTAGATGTATTAGATGGAGCAATTTGTTTAGTCTTGGCGGAAATTATCCTATTTTTTCAAAAAACAGTATTTCATGCATTTACATGCAGAATAACTGACATAGATTAAGCCTGCGCTAACGAGTCTAGTTTATCTGCTATACAATTGCCCTGGTAGTTACTGTGTCCTAATCTAAATGCTAGACAAGCTGTTGTGTCTGCGTACGTCATTTAGAGATCTTTTAATCTAATGTGTAAAGAATATAAAGATTTGCTTTCTGTTGGTTATCGGAAGATTATATTTGATCATATCAATTTGATGTGTCCTTTTTATGTCAGTAACATGATTAAAGACTATCACTTCCATTTAAAATATACTTGGAAGATCTGGTATTCAAATAGTCAAATATGTTGAGTGTGTTAAGTTTTAATAAAATTAAAATCGTATCGTATTATAATACTGAATTCACACGAGAGTTCCGTCAGTAATTAATTCTGCCAAAAATTTTTATTTTGTATGAAGGCAACATCAATTGACAGCTAAAATTACAAATTTGACAGCTAAAATTTGTAATTTAAAACTCTCATGTGAATCCAGTATAAATTTGGAGTTAAAATATTCAATATTTTCAATATGAGTAAACAATATTTTGTTATTATATGTACTATTATATTATATGTATATTACATTATATTTAGTACAATCGAAGTGCAAAATTTTCTCGTTGATAATGAAAATAAAAAACAAAAGCATTTCGAATAAATTTTTATTTTTAAAACTGAAAATTTTGACATTTTAAAAAATGCAGATGTTTACAATTTTTTGCATAATCACTTTCTAAATATTGTAACATTAAATATTGTCGCATTTTACAATCATGGGCGGTGCGCATATTGAATGGCGAATACCAAAGTTATATGCAGGTCCTTTCTTTCCGGGATGATATCCCTGCAAGTCATATGCTTGAGCTCCAGGGCCAATATGTTTGTTTCTTAAACCTGTCCTCATTCCCATCGTATATTTAGGACTTGTCGGTTTTGTATAATGAGGATCATTAAATGAGTATATTGGTCCAGGCGATCTGGATTTAATTGACATACCAGTCTTCAACGCCCTATGAAAGAGAAAAATAACTCGAAAATAAAGTATTTGTCAATTATGAAACCGCAATGTACGTACATCGAAAAAGCTGGTGCCTTTGGTTTGATTGGATCTACTATAGTCATATATTTATTTGGTCCAGGTGAAGAAGTCTTATATGCAAAATTATTTCTAGGCGCCATAGTATATTTGGGTGGGTTAACACCTTTGAAAATTGGTGCAAGATGTACACTATGCGCTTGAGGTCCAGGCCCAACAGTTTTCCCTATTAAATTAATGCAATTAATATATTATTCACACAGTATACTCGCGCATATATGACAAGTGTATCAGTTCAATTCTAATAATTACATACTTATTGAAATACTGTTGTGCACTTACATGCTGAGCCTAACTTCAATCCCATCGAATATTTAGCTGTTCCATCTGGTCCATAACGTGTTAGATTATTGGTAAACATGAGTCCACCCGGTCCTGGTGATACATTTTTAGTAGCCATGGTAGATCGCACGCCAAATGAATACATTGGCAGACGTTGTTTAGTCTGGCAATGATCTTTGTAGCCTACAGTTGGTGGCAACTTGTAGGCGTTTGACGCAGGGCCTATCGATTAAATAATGACACCAATTAGAATTAAAGGATTACATAAATATATATAAAAAGTCGAATATTACCCATTCTTCTGCAACTCATTTTGTTTACAATATTAGAAATATGGTTATGCAAATAATTTTGTATTGGTGCTGGCCCAAATTATTGAAACCGAAAGATTTGATGGGAGATAATTTTGACTATTGCATCGAACCAGAATAAAAATTTATTGAAATGCAATGATAGAAGTAATTTAAATTTATGTATTTTAAATTTTTATTAGGTGACTAGATTATTATATATTGTATATAAATTCATAATAAGAAAACATTATTTTAAAGTAAAGTAAATTAAACATAAAGTAAAACTAGCTTAAAAATGTGCCATTTAATGATGATATTGCTATATTGTTTTCAACGTGCTATAGGTCAATAATCCTTTTCATTCTGCATCGATTGAATTATAGAGTTGCTTATACTGCGAACCACGTCCAGTATTGGTTAAAAGCAGTTCATTCTGCTTTTCTCGCATTGTCTGAAATTCATGTAAAAGTAACCATTTTTATATAACTATCCATTAATATATTCGTATATTGTATAGGAGGTTTCCTAAGAAATTTTATAAATGAAAGAGTTGGTTGCTTGACGAAGAAAAGAGAAGAAAAACTGTGGAAGTTCTTGGCTGTTAGTGATTTGAACTATAAAAGATTTTTTGTACGATTATTATTAACATGATAAATGTGGAAAGTATAAAACATTACTTCTTGTTGAATTGAGAAAAGTCTTAATTTTTTTGTGGATATTTTTGGACATAGTTGCCAGAATTGTCCTATCTCCTAGATATTCTGAGTTTTTGCAGTAACTTTTTGTCTAATAAGACTTTTTAAAGTAGATACAAAGATTTCTAATACTAACGCTATTTAGAACGTTGAAAGAATAGTGTCGTGCTTGGCCAGTCGATCAGCCCTAACGTTTCCCACAATATAAGAATGGCTTAAAACCTTAATAAAATAACGGTTGTTTGCTGCGGCATGATCAACGGCCAAACAAATCTATTCTTAATCTTTTTAGTACGAAGGTACTATTCTTATGAATATAGATATTGCTGTACGATTTTGTACTATAATTAACCATCTCAGCTTTAGCATGGATGGCTCCATTTTTAGCTTGGAAAAGACTACAATAGTTTGGAAGTGTAAAGTTAATTAACCTATGAAGTGTGTTTCATTTAGTTTCGATCTAAGTGCGATAAATTCGTCCTCTTCGTTTTTAAGACACTTCCAGCTTTTATGAATAATTAAAAACAATCTTGTATAGAACTATTACTTACCTTTGGATCATATTTTTGATAAAGGCACACAAGTACTGGACCATATAACATATTAAAAAAGCCGACTATGCGCATTATCCAAGCAAAACCTAATGCTTGTGCTAATTCACCGCCTATCAATGGAGCTGAATCCAAATAAAAAATAATTAACATAATGTGTATCGTATATTATAATAATATTATTGATATATTTTAAAACCATACCTAAACCGTAAGCAAGACTAACAGAAGTTTGCTGTATGGCATAAACGGTGCCATAGCTGGACATTGAATTTGTATTAGCCAAATTATCTGCATCTATTTGCTCATCTTGCGGCATAGCAGAATCAACAAAAGTTGCTAACAATGGTACTAGCGCTGCATCAATAATTCCTATTCCTAAACCTAGTCCGAAATGTGGAAGCAGCAATTGCGCCACAGTCGTAGCACTTGGTATCTATAAATAAATTCATATATATAAAATTTACAACGTAATCATTTATTAATAAAATTGTAATATAAATATTTTTTTATATATGTACTTACCAGTATAGATGATATACCAACTAATAGAAGTGATATACAGGAAACCTTGACTTGTCCGTATTTATAGGCAACAGTACCAAAAAAATTTGTACCTACAAAATATCCAACTGAATCTGGTATAAAAACAGTGCCTAGTTGCCAGTTTGTTGGTTTTATATACTGCAGTAACCAAATTGGGAGACAAGGTTCCAATATAGCCATTGTAGACGTAGATAACCATAGAGCAATGACAATGGCCATTATCATTTTATTTTGTATGATTGGCTGCCATTTTTGTTGTTTTTGTTCACCAGCATCAGCGATTAACTATATTCAAGGAAATTATAAAGTTTTAAGATAAAAAGTGAACTTAGGTGAGGTATTGCTTTATAATCTGTTGTTTGCAAATTAACTAAACTTAAAAAGCATAAACTAGAAAAAAATGTAATAAACATATTAAAACTAATATTTGTTTAACAAAAAATTAAAAGATTAACTGATTATTGACTATACTATATATAAGTTATATACATTCTGATAATCTGATTCTTCTTAACACATCTAACAGTTTTTTGTTAGATTATTAATTACTTCATATTGAAGGTTTTAAATAATTGAAACATAAAATTGTTTAAGTTTTTATACACAAATAATCAACAGTTTATGATAGTGTATTGTCATACCTCAGGTTGTACTGATAAATCCATTGTTACCAATTGCATAGCTTTAATAATATTTAATACTTAGCAGAAACGATTTTTTCTCAAAATTATTTAAACTTACCTAAGTTGAGAAATATGATTGCCGATAGTATAATAAATGGTGCCGACTTTCCAATTAAATCATAAAGTATGCCACCAAATGGATAACCCAATAATACGCCCAACGCAATGCTACCCAAAATGATGCCCATTACTTTAGAACGACGCCCCTCCTCTGGATAACTCTACAACATTTTCATTAGTTATTTTGTTTCTTTCATTTAGTGGTTGAAGATAGTATTTGCTTCTTTAAATATAAACTTACTTGTGCCACTAAACTCATGCCACAGACTCCAATGCAAGCCGAACCAATACCTTGTATAGCACGTGCAAGTAAAAGCGTAAAGTACGCTTCTCCAATAGCGAAAACTAAAAGACAAATGGAGTACAGATAATAGATAATAGAACAAAGTAAATATTCTATTTAGATTTTTATTTCAAAATAGAGTAAAGAGAAGTGACGAACCTAAGGATGACACCAAGAGAAAAAATGTTCCAGCAACTATGGGTACACGATAACCGAAACGTTTGCTAGATAAGTTACCCACAATTGGATTAAAAATCAATTGAACTAATGCTTTCATAGCCAACAAAATACCAATTGAACCATTCTCACTCGAGAGTGTATCCATGGTGTTTCTTCCATTTTTTCCTTCATCACGTCTGCCATTTGACGAATTGTTAACGGTATTGTTGTTTCCGGCTGTTATATTTTTTATGGTTGTGCCATTTCCGCTACTCACCAGATGTTTAATTTGCCTTTGTGCTGCTGTTGTGGCTGCAGAGGCAGACTTGTCCTCGATTGCTGTAGGTGGTAGTGTGAAGTTCACCATTGATTTTCCTGCGGGAATGGGATGTTTTGTTAAAACTGCTTGTAGATTTGGCGAACCATCCAGATTTCTATATGCTATATTTTGTGGTAATATTGCGCTGCCACTTTGACTTGTGGCAGCATTAAAACCGCCGACTGTGTCCAGTGAAGTATAATGTGTTTTATTGTCAATGGAGGCTAGATAACCCGGTAAAATAGGCACTGAAAATAGAACAAAAAAGCAATTAGTAAAGGAAAAAAATATGAAAAAATAGATAATCGATAATTAGAATTTTGATTAATTTTGTGTATTAGAAATATTCTGAACTGAAAGAGGCTTGTTAGGGAAAATAATAGAAATATTTGAAAGTTTCAATGTTAATTATTAGTAAAATAATCTTTTTTATAGGTTAAAAAATTACAGGTAAAGGGTACATTAAATGTTAAAGAGTATTTTTAAAACCCTCGATAAATTATGATGAAAATAAATTTTTTCAGGGCCATCTTTGTGGAAAAACTAAAATATAGTTCTCCTTTTTATGTATAAACATTACAAAACCATTATCTTTGATATTTTAATAATGATTTTACAAAGTTTTTTGCAACAGAATGTAGATATTTGGTGACCATTAAAAACGCTAGCCCCGAACGGAATCACTTTCATACATAAATATATATATATATTTAATCAATGGGATGAAAAGTCTAGATATGCTTTAAAAACATCATGTTGAAAATAGTTTCACCCGTTTTACAATATATTAATGTGATTCAAGAATTTTATCCGTTCATCTCTATTTTAAAATCAATGACACCAACCTATCAATCATAATAATCTGTTTTTAAACGCAGTCAAGATGGTATCGAAGCAATGTTTTAGAAGTTAACACAATGTATTGCATATTCAGATATTTGTACATTAAAAATATAGTTAATAGTTTGCATTTTCTCCAGAACTCCTGATTTTTATAAAATGAATGAAACTGCAGTACAATACACAACGACATGTATGAGTAAATGATCTATACTTTATTTCTTTACTATATAAACTGAAGCGAACTCTCTTGACATGTCGCAATAAATTCAGTAAAAGTGGCTTAGAAATGTACTCCACTAAAACATGTATATCAAAAAGGATTTACAGCCTTTGTACAGTTTTTTCAATACTTTTGGGTAATTACGTGACGGTCATGTGGACCTTGTAGACGATGACTAAATACCGTCATCTAAAACCATACGTAATTAATAAAACATCGAGCTAGTCAACAAAAATTGTCCAAAACCACCACTCTGTACTGAAAGCTACACCCTATCGACTTTTAAATAAAGATTTGAGACGGTCTATCCATCATACATTTTACACTGACAGATGATCTAAAAACCTAGGTGGTTTAGTATTGCAAAGACATGTTCGGAAGGAGCATTTATGTCTGTCAACCATAATAGCCATTGATATTGATGATTAAATTTGGTCTTTCCAATACGAACTGAAAACAAAATGTTAGCGTGTGGCATGGAGGTTATCAGAAGAGCAAAATGATTGTTTTCTGACATTTAAGAAATGCAAGAAATTGTTCATATTAAATATGTTCCATATGACATATTTGACCGGAATATTCAGAGTCAAGCAAATGTTTTTTGTTGCATTAAAATGTATCATCGCACAAAATTAACATGGTGCGTTAATTCTTGACAATAAAAAATGCATTATTTTTAATGATTATCCACTTTAATCACCTCATAAGACGTCGTGCGACTTTTGGCTAGTCCTCAAACTTAAATTAACTATGGAAAAAAATCGTGTTGGTACCAATCGTTTCGGTCATCCAAAAGGTTTCAACTTATAGATCTACTAAAAGTTATTCCAGTAACCTTATGTCGTTTTAAATTAAATTAAATTTTAATCATACAGCTGTTTCGAATATTGCCAAATATCCATTATTAGTGGTATTTTGGAATTGTTTCTTATATTTAATTATTTGTAAATAATTTTTGAGAACGCAAATACCAAGGGTTGAACTCGTACCCTGCCGAATTTGAAGCTTAGTGTCAGTGCTCAACTGACTCAAATCTTGCTGTGAAATTTAAAAAACGAATTCACTTGTTGTGTTATATCACAACGAATTCATAAACCAGTTGTAAAATAATTGAATTAATTAATTTTGAAATTGAATTTAATAATTAAAAAAAAAAAATTCCAAAAGACAAGAGATAACGGGTATTCGAAAAAGCGATATGGTCAGCCAAAAATTGAATTAATTAAAATATGAAAAAAATTTTTGTTGTTGCAATTCACTACTCAAAACTTCACGCTTAGTTACTAATAATATTTAGAGGATCATGGACTCAGTTTTAAAGATTATTATATAAACTGTAACCACATTTTGAAGCTTTACAGAAAATTGGGTTTTAATATGTTTTTTACATGATGACCTTTCTAAATATTGCCTCTAAGTAAGAATGTTTTAGCTTATCTTAGATCCATTTATATAGAATTGTGTAACATAAATGTCATGCAGATTGATTCAGTATCCATACAGTAGGAACAAAGGACAACTTAGTTTATATATTATAGATATATAGTTTATTGTGTTTAAAATTTATATTATTTTTATTATTTATGTAATATATTTAAATCAAACTTTAATATTCATCTATTGAACATATGTATTGTATATGAAAAATCCTCAGATAATTAATTTTATTAAAATATTTAATATTTAATTTTCTTTTTTCTTTTATATTAATATTTAATTAACACTTTAAGTATTACTTCTCTGGCATTTAATAAAATTCATTCTGAAATAAATGAGCCACTTAAGACAATCACTTGTTATTTATTATTTACAAGCGATGAGCCAAGGATATGACTATCATCAAAGCATAACATAAACTGTCTTTAGTTCAAATATTATAATATATATTAAATTATATTATATTAATATTAAATTACATAAATATTCTTCTTAGATAACTAAGAAAATATATTAAGTTAGTTACCAATAACTGTGAGTAAAACATTATCCAATAATAAAGCAAAGTAGACAATCACCGCAATCGTACAACGATTCGTATGACCAAAATTTGGAGTGGAGGAACGCGTTCCACTCGCAATATTCAAAGTAGTACCGCGATGAGTTTCACTTGAAACTGGTGTTTCCGGCGGAAATTCAGGCATTTTACTAACTACCGCAATACACTGTATCGTTTAATAAACCCAAACGACTCAATAAGAACCGACTATGAAAATCGTTTGCAACGACAGAGAGGTTTTCTCATTGACTTCAACTTGCCATATGCTACGATTTTGCATAAATTGATAATATATCACTTAACAATTATTTTGCCTTCTTCTATTCAATTATGGATACGGAGAATTTAACATATACAAGCTTTTGAACACACACACAAACACACGCGCACACGTATATGTAGTGCAATTAAAATTATTGCTCCTTTCGCCACGCAGCGCTCTACAGGTGTTATCGCCTCAAAGGATGTCACAATAATAAAATGTTTCAACATGTTGTTGCTGCAATTTATATGAAGTCTGCCAATTTCATTGATGGCATGAGTACTGCTTAATACTTCCCTCTCCGCCACTGCTTCGGTTGCTGTTTTCAGTGCTTACATTGCTGCTGCCACAACACCGTATAATCCACATGACCTTGTTTGTATTAGTGGCTTGGCTTTCCATTGTGCACAAGTACAAGGGTTGGGTGGTGCTTTAAAAGATGCTGCTGCTGATATTGAGTTGTTAAAGGATTTTCATTACGGATTTGCTTGCTATTGGCAACATGTTGCTTGGCAGGCTTTTTTTTTTGGACCAACAAGTGTATCTTTGCTTTTGGACTTATTTTATTTGCTATTGTAGTAGTTGTTGTTGTGCTGTGTTATTTTGGACTTTTTTTTTTTGTACTGCGAACGTGTATGTTTGGTTTTACTCATAAAATTTGATATTTTCTTTATTTATTTATTTTTATTTATATACATTTTTTTTTTCTAGACGACTAGTCAACACAAAGCGTGTACGGGAAAGATAAGCTTTTAATAACTGCTGCTAGAGTGAAACTGCTCAGTTAGGAGGTTACACATATATATTTGTTTTTGTGTAAAAATATTTTAAATGATTTCCACATCATTTATTGTTGCATACTGGCACGAGACAGAAAGCCTGCCACTGAACTATATAGTAGATATATGTATGTATGTATTTATGTGCAGGTACGAATGTACTTAAATATATATTGAAGCATTAAATCAAATTTGCAGTTCCGTTCGAGAGTATCCTTCTTAATACGACTTGAGATCACTTGGCAGAAATAATGAAATATAGTTCTGTATTCCATCATAAATATGTCTCATAAATAAGTTAATTTAAAGTTAATCTTATTATTATTATATTATTATTAAAAGCTTTGACGTGAAATCGCCCAACAGCCGGTACTACAGCCAGGAGAGTCCTGATTGTACCAATTTCACTATTTCAATTCAAAAAATAAATTTCTGAAATTCAAGTCGAAAATATTCACCACAAATGAGAAATTATGTTTATAAAAGCATATTGAGACACACTGATTAATTTTTGAAATTATTCAATATTTATTATTTTGAATTTGTTATTTCAAAAATTCCTTATATACGAGAGCGGTACGATAAGTCAATGACTTTTTGAATAAAACAAATTATTTTCCACAAATAAACAATTTAATTTTCCACATAATCACCTTTTATCTCGATATTATTCCCTCCAAATAATAGGTTTTCTTAAAGCTCTCAAAATATGCGTTTGTTTCGGTAATGACTTCTTCATTCGACTCAAATCTCTTACCGCCCAACCATTTCTTTAGGTTTGGAAACAGAAAATAATCGCAGGTAAATCTGGCGAATATGCTGGATGGGGTACCAGTTCGTATCCCAATTCGTGGACTTTGACCGCGAATACTTAATCAGCACACGAAATTCACTTTTTTCCATTTTCGTAAAAATTCTCTAGGTTGTCTTTGAACGGCTATCAAACACCAACTGAACGACGTAGCTTGCTCGAAATTAGAAAGTTGTCCACAGGTAGATTACAGCTGATGGCAGACTGTTGCATTTAGAGTAACTGCGCGGGAAATTCAAAAAGTCACTGACTTATCAAATCGCCCTCGTAATATAATGCAATATAATGCTTTTTTCAGAATAAAAGTTTTAACAATTTTTGAAGAAAATGGATGAATAAATTGAATATAATGAATGTCATTTTCTAGTAACATAAATGATTAAACTTCCTCTGCAAACTGCTACACGGTCATATAAATAATTTCATAAATAGCTCAGATAATATATATTTTCATAATAAAAGAGTTTTCAGATTCTTAAGATATCATGTAGCTATTGGGCTACTGAGCTCAAACCTGCAACCCATTTTTCTCCGAGACAGCTGGGTCTATGGCATATAACATGCTAAACTTAAAATTTTGCAGTTTTAAAGGGATAATAAAAAGAGAGTTGTTAAGATATTTTATTTAATTTTAAGAGATATGAATTTCTTGCCCTCAGTAAATTTAATTCAAATAAATAGGTAAATATTTTTATTTTAGACATATTTTCACAAATTTTCCTCTATTTTTATCAAAAACAGTGATTTTTCAAATATTTCTTAAAACTGTTTTCTCTAAAAATTGATTTAAAAAAAAAAAATCTGTCTTTGACAGGAAAGGAAGTGAATTTGGGAAAGAATGGCAAAGACATAAATGTAAATATATTCATTCGAATCAGTTTTATTGAAGACACGAAATTCCTATTTCTAAAAATGAGTAATTTTTTATTAATCCTTTAAAACTTCAATTTTGAAACTTTAACCCGTTAATTTGAAAAACTCAGTTGTGTAGCAGAAAAACGGGTTGCAAACTTGAGCTTAGTAGCACTAAATAGAACTAAGTAGAACCTAAAATTATTAAAAAATAAAAAATTTAAAAGAAATTTTCTTTTGTTAATCATATTAAAATTGTTTTTTTTTGTAATATCAACATTTGCATAAATGTTAATCTGCATAAATCAACATCAATTAATAATATTCAACTAATTTATATTAAATTAAATTCAATTATATAATCTAAATAGCTTGCTACTGTTAAAAATTTTAAAACTTTATTTTCCAAAAACAAAAAAAACATCCTTTAATAATTTGGAAAAAATCTGTCGAGAATTCTGTCTCCACCTCATGCTGTGATTCTGTTGAATGAAATTTTTGTGAAAATCAGTGACTGGAATAAATCAATTACACATCATGTAATATATGTATATATATTTAACACAGTTTGTGACTTAACCTAGTTTTGTATCTATCTGTTAATCAACAAAGTACATTAAAGATATTCTCCTACTTATTTGTACTTATGTTTTGGTAAATTTAAATTTAAGCCATGTTTTTTCATATCATTTATTTTAATTTTATATTTAAAACATATTATCAAAAAAATTTAATTTAAAGAATTTTATTTGTGTTTTTAATAATAAACATGTTTATATCTGATAATATAAATGTAATAAATAAAGATTCTTAACAATGACAATCTAATCATAAAGATTTCAGTTTTAAACTAATACATGATACATACTGAAATATTGTTTTTAGTGCAGTTAGCTGGCATATTTTTATTTTTTATATATATTATTTTCAACTCTTCAATTTATTTGTACATTTTAATGTATGTAGTGATCCGGATGTGTATTAAAATTATTTAAGCTTAATATATAAATAGTGAAGATTTTTTGCTATGCATTTCTTTTAGTAATAAGGCAGATTCCTTGCTTCATATATATGTCACCAAACGAAGTTGTCACATAAGGGATAGTAAAAGCTTACAAACAACTGTAGAAAACCTTTTATATCCATATAACATCACCGTTTGAATTTGCATTTGATATGGAGGTGTTATAGGCCAGTATTTGTTTGAAAATGACGAAAGTGTTACACAAACAATCAGTTTTGATTGCTACGATCGCCATATAAATTCTTTATCAATTTTTTTTGGGGCCACGCAGTGGATTATAATCTTATAAATTACATTTTTTTAATGGAAAAATGGAATAAATTCCTTTTTTTACCTTGAAATTGAAGATATATTTGTGACATATATTGAAGATATACTGTGTCTAACTTCACCTTTTAGTGATGTGAATTATCCACCAAGATCGTGCGATTTCTTAAAACTGGAATTTTTTTGTGGCCACACAGTGAATTGTGTTTATCTCAATATTCTTCAAATTCTTCACTCTTGGCTATAATTATTGTCAGCTCTATTAGTGCAAGATGTCCCATGAAGAACATGTGAATAAAGTTGTGTTTAATTTTCTTTTTGTAATAACTTAAAGTATTCATATTTTAATTAAAGTTTAAATTTAATCATATTTGTACATAACTGCTTTCAAAAATCTAATCCAATTGCTTATCCTTCTATATATTTGATAAGATTACCAAGTTGAGTTTGGCTAACTAAATGGCTTTAGGAATTTAAAACAATAAAAATTACTATATCTTAAGCGATTAAATTATTATTATCTCTTTCATTGCGTTATGTTGTTAAGGCATGTTTTATTGTTTTAGATTTCAATAATGAGGAGTGAAATTAATTGTTTATTAAAATGAAAGTAAAAATGGGTGAAGAAAACTCAAATTAAAGGGTAAATATAATGATAATGTTTGTAATACTAAAATATAATATAAAGTGTAAATTTAATAATATTTATGTTATTTGTATTTATTATTATCAATCTACTTTTCAAAAAAATTTTAAAATTAATTATTTTTTATTTTTCTTTCTTTCTTTTAGCTCAAGGAAGGAGTCGAACATCTATGTAAAATATTGGACTGGGACTCACAGTGTAATGAACCTTCACGGTCTGACTGATGTGTATTTTTTACAAATCTTTTCGAAATATTCAAAATTTCCTACTTTCAGTGAGTTAAAATCTCACATGCTAACTTTCGATATTTTTCACCCATTAGTGGAATTTTAACTTAAAGTAAAGTCACAATTTATAATTTCATTTTAACTCTGATATCTGAAACGATAGTGATATTTCGACTTTTGGTCAGTTGCTAAAAATCATTTAAATGTTTTGTTAAGAATGATACAAACTATACAATAAACAAAGATTTTATTTCATAATGAAAGGTATATCATATGAATAATATACTTTCACATATATAACTGATTATTATTATTTAAAGAACAACATAAAAAAAATATTTTAATAAAATCGTTTCATCAATTTGGCTTCAAAATATTTTATCAATTTTTTTAAAGAAAAAACAGTTCAACTACAAAATGATTGGGATACCCCGGCGTTTTTAACGATTAAGTTAATATATCAGTCAAAAAATATTGATTAAAATTAGCA